ATCTGTGTCGCAATGCCACAGGTAAAACCTTAACGCCGTGGCAATGGCCTGTTACATCTGTTCGTATTTTAAAATACCATTTTCTTGCCTTATTAAAAATTCATTTGAGAAGCAGAGTTATCTGTTTTTAAGTGTTCTCAATACTTGAAGATTTTGCTTTTGTATTTTTTGCTTGAGGATTTTTGCTCTTGTTGGCGCGACCAGCCACTGCAGTAGAAATGCTGTCTCATAGTACAGATGACCCTGTGGGACAAGAAGTTTGTGTGTTGGGAGACTGTGAAGACTTCTTGTCCCTTAAGCCCCACTTACACAATGTTTGTCAATTGTTTCCTACGGCCCTTCATAATGGCTTGCCAGCAATAAGCAAAAATAAAGCTGGAACTGTGTCAAAACAACTCGGGGGTCCACATTCATCCTGCTTGTGTCCCCAGTCGAGCCCCCGTGCCCCCCCCCCCGGAGCAGCAAGCTGTTGTCTCAGCTGAAGAATGATGGGAAAAGTGGTGCCTGTTTCGTTTCGCGCAAATCACAAGCAGCCATTTCGCATTCTGTCAATGCTCTCGCAGGCTGCAGTGGACAGTCCTAGCGCTGCTTGGGTGACTCCGATCTGAGAAGTCATGACCTTCCAGCCTGCTGGTGGCCCTCCCGAGCGAGCTAGTGACAGCCATGGGATGGAGTGGCACCCCGGCCTGCAGCCAGTGATACACGGCCCAAGCAGCCTTGTGTGTATGAATCAGCTTTGATTTGCAAGGTGCCAAGCTGGGAGGAAGAATAAGTAAGAAAGAGGAAATATGGAGTGGAGTGATCCTCACTGCATCGAGCCAGATGCCAGAAAGGCTGGGTAAAGTGCCACGACCCCTTTGGCAGCAAGCAGGAGAGAAGCTGCCTAGCCTGCTCTGCCCTCTGCCCTGCTCTGCCTTCTCAAGGCTCAGTGCTCATCCTGCTCACATGCCAGGCACCATGAAATATTCTGCAATTTTGAAGTACACAAGGACTTAAAAAAGTTTATGGGGAAACATAAATAAGAGATAAGCTTGTTTCGGTGCAAAAAGTTTTGCAATTCATTTCATGAACTTTGGAAGACGTCTTATGTAGATATGTGCGTAACTTTTTTGCTGTGTACCAGTTGCACACATTTGTTGCCATACTCCTGTGTGAATGATAGATTGTCATGACCTCTGTAACTTTGTTTGCTTTTGACTGCATGTTCTATGGAATTCTGAAAGAAATATGCTAAAATCTACCAGTATGGATGTCAATCTACCAACTCTTCTGAACTTTTAATGTTTTTAATTTTGTGGTATATCTTTTTCAGTAAGATTTATTGGAATTACAGAGAGAAAGGATAGAGAGAGTGGTCCTCCATCCACTGGTTCACTCCCCAAATGGTCACAATGGCGGCAGCTGAGTTGAACCAAAAGTAGGAGCCAGGAGCCTCCTGTGGGTCTCTTAGGCGGGTGCAGGGGCCCAACAACTTAGGCCGTCCTCACTGCTTTCCCAGACCATTAGCAGGGAGCTGGATGTGGAGTGGAGAAGCCAGGTCTTGAACCTGTGCCCATAAGTGATGCCAGTTTCACAGGCAGTAGCTCCACTTGCTATGCCACAACACCAGGCCATTGTGGTATATATTTTTATTACATAATGAAGTTAGCAACCCTTATATATTTGTCAATTTCATATTTTTACCACAGGAAATGTGGCTCACTGCACATAAAAGCATACCCAAATAATGGGGATTGAATACACAAAAATGTGCTTTGCTCAAAGAAAGCAGATGTGTGGCGGCGGGAAGTGCACGGGTGGCACAGCAACCTGCAGTCACACGAACCGTGAGCTCCCTCTGTCTTGCGGCTCAGTCACGTTTCATATGTGGCCCGCTTTTGCAAGTCGTGGTCGTAAGATGGCTCCTGCAGCTCCAGACATCATATGCACATCCCAGTTAGGAAAGGGGAGGAAGAGGTTCATGCAAGGACAGAAATAGGCTTCAGCAAGCCCCACCCACTGACCTCTGCTCAGAGCCTGTGGCTGACTCCTAATCATAAAAGGGGATGAGAAAAAAAGTTACTTTTCCATCTGGACATGATGCTGCCCCAAATTAAGCTGATGTTTGCGAAGGGCAGAGGCCGGGACGCCGAGTGGGTGTCCGACAGCGTCCTTCACGCACCGGAACTGTTCCAGTCTCTTGTTCCTGTTCAAAGCTCTTGGCCCCAATCTGATGCCATCACGCCACTCCTGCTTCCGCATTTGCCTGATATAAATCTGCCCAGTGTTCCACTTGGCCACGTTGTTTGAGGTGAGGTCCCTAGCTATAACGTAGTCTTTGATTTTTGCAGCCAATCTGAAAGGTTGCCTTTTAAATGGCAATTCAGCTCACTCCGATTTAAAATAGTCAAACGTATGTTTGTTCTCACCGTTGTCTGATTATTTCATTGTTGCTGCTCCCTCCCCCGTCTGAGGGTTTATGACCTTAATGATTTGGTTAGAAGTAATTTCCCGCCTCTGTTAAGTAGAAAGTTTTCCCATAAGTACTTACTTCTCTTCAATAAATAAATGCCTTTTTCGGATTCAATAGCTGTAACCCTGTGTCTCAGTGATTCATTGTGAGGATGCTGAGCAAGATATGTAATTTATTTCTTTAATAGTGAAATAATAAATAAGGTGGCTGGAGCCATGTAATAATTAAGGAAGTTTATTTTTTCCATTTCCCTTCAACGTCACACGCAGACAGCAGCAGATATTTGAGCAGTTCTCTTGGGCGGAGCTGGGGTGAGCCCAGTCTAAGGCAGGCTGCTGGGACAGCACTTGTTTCTGCTCAGGGCCCACCTGTTGGAGGAGGAAAGCTGTTCGCCCAGAGTTCTCCACGTCCACAGGGAGCAAAGGACTGAGTGTTCATCCTTCTCTCCTTGCTTCCTGGAGGCAAGACTTCCTCAAATGCCAGCCAGCAGTGCGTGCGGCCGGCCCACTCCATTTGCATTTGTTGTGAAAGAGGTTTTAAAGCCTTTCCTCCCGTCCTCCCCACGTGGCAGCTCTAAGTTTTACGGTGTTCGCAGCAGTTCTGGAAGGCTCCGGCAGCTGTAATGCAGCTCTAGATGAAGGGTGAAGTGATGAGCCCTCTCTTGCTACTGTTACGTTGCAGGAACATAATGTTGCTTCTGAAAGAAGGCTTTTATTCTTCTCCAAATCACACGTTCCACTTCCTGTCGCAGTGTCCCCGGGAGTGATCAAGGATCCTAGAATTAAGCAAATGGTACAAGTGCTGCTGTTTAGGTAGGGAAGTTGCTGTTTTTACGCTGGGGAGCAACATAAGGGGAGAAACCATTTCATTAAAGCCGTACAACTTGTACGCAGCTTCGTTATTCTAATTTACTTCTTCCTTAAAAAGTATTATTTTAGATCCTTACGGCTTTGCTTTGGCTACAAATTGATAAAGCTTAAAACAATCCTTCTATACAGCAGCGCTGTACTCTGAATGCTTAGTAAAGACGTGCGAATATGACCAACTGTGAAGAAGTCTCTGAGCTATGAAAGCGCTTGTCGCACGGCCTCCCGATGAGACCTGTCCCTGGCATTTCCCCCCTGTGCTGTGGAGAGGACAGTCATCTTCGAAGTGTCTGCCTCTTGCAATACATTCCTGGGGCAAAGGCACAAGCATTCGCCCCTGCTTCTGGAAGGTTCTCCCTTTCCATTTACTGCTGCTATATTCCTGACCCTTTTGAGAAAATGGGGCAACGAATGGTGTCATAGGAATTAAGAAATGTATGCATTTGGAGCTGTCCCCTCCCTCTTATCTCCCTGCTGGTACTGACTGTGAGAGTTCGAGAGAAATCAAATGTCCCATGGCTGCAGATGTTTGGTGTAGCAACGGAGTCGATGTTGCGTCCTGGCTTTTCCACTTTCCGTGCAGCCTCCGATGCATCCTGGGCTAGAACAGGAGGTAGCTTGAGCTGTTTTTTTGCCACCCACATGGATGGGACTGTGGGCCCCTGGCTTTGCCCTGACCTTCCTTGGCTGTTGTGGGCATTTAGGAGCGAAACTACAGATGGAAGCTATCTTTCCCTCTCTGTCTCAAATCAAATGTCAATCAATAAACAACATTTTCAAAAAGTATCTGGTTGAATCCTTACATTGCAAGCACCAGGATCTCATATGGGTGCCAGTGCGTGACCCAGCTGTCCCACTTCCCACCCAGCTCCCTGCTTGCAGCCTGGGAAAGCAGTCGAGGACGGCTCAAGGCCTTGGGACCCTGCACCCCCACGGGAAACCCTTAAGAAGCTCCTGGCTCCTGGCCTCATCAGCTCAGCTCTGATCATTCAGTCACTGAGGGAGTGAACCAACGGATGGAGGGTCTTTCCATCTCTCCTTCTCTCTGTAAATCTTTGGTTTGTTTGTTTATTATTATTATTTTAATTACATTATATTATGTGACACAGTTCTATAGGCACTGGGATTCCCCCCACCCCTCTCCCATCCCTCCCCCCATGGTGGGTTCCTCCCCCCGCCCCCCCGTTGTGTAACCACAGTTCAAGTTTAGTTGAGATTCCTTCATTGCAAGCTACTTTTGAAAAGTACTACTTTTGATATTTCCCATGACAAAAAAGGAGGAGTTCTTTTAAATTTTAAAGTTATTTTCATTTAGTTAAAAGTCACAGAGACACAGACATAGAAAGAGAGGCTCAGAGCTCTTCCATGCAATGGTTCATGCTGCAAATGCCGAGGTGGCCAGGGCCAGGGCCAGGGGAGATCTCGCAGGTGAGTGCATGGGCCTCCTCTCCTGTGGCTGAGATCCAGCAGCAGGAACTGGAGAAAAAGTGCCAGAGCTAGCACTTGAGTCAGGCATTAGGGTATGAGACGATGCAGGCACCCCCCAGGTGGTGATTTAACATGCTGCGTTATAATCACTACTGCACAAAAACGCTTTTAAAAAACAATAACTGAGGTTTCAGAAGATTGTTAATCCTGAACAAAAGGGATTCCTGAGTGGTGAATAATGCTCATCATGCCTGTAGTGCTGGCAGCCAAGATGGGCACCAGTGCATGTTCCTGCTGCTCCACTTCCCACCCAGTTCCCTGCTAAAGCGCCTGGGAACGCAGCAGAGGACAGCCCAAGGGTTTGCGTATCTGCACCCATGTGAGAAACCCAGAAGAAGCTTCGGGCTCCCAGTTTTCAACTGGCATACTCTGGCCATTACCCCCGTCTGGCAGGTTATCCGCAGACTGAAGATCTCTCTCTCTCCTCTCTTTCTCTCTTCTCTCTCTAACCATGACATTCAAATGAAATAAACAAATTTTAAAACAAAGGTGTTCAAAAGTGGTCTGCATTCAGTTTGGTGACAAAAAGTTTCAGGCCTGAATGTAAGAGCCGAGGTGGACATTGTACGGCTGAACATGGGAAGCTGCTGGCTTCCCTGCCGTCTACTAACAGTCTTTCAAAAATGCTGAAATGGAAACGTTTCAGAATGAAAAGGCAGTTTTTCCCAGAGCCACGTCATCCATTCTCCAGTTAGCTTTACTCTCATGTTCCTTGGGCCCAGAGAGCTACATGAAGAATCAGGAATTTTAAAATACTCAAGTTACTTCAGCTCTTGGTGCCGCCAATGGAAGAAATCCTGAGAGTAAACCTTCTGTATTCCAGAAGCATTCTGAAGAATAGCCACGGTTGAACATGTTTGCTGACTTATAGGTTCACATAGACTTCAATTAAATTTTCAGGTAACTTCAGAGTGAAAGGCACCAGGGGACATTTCATCCAGTGTCAGGAGTGACTGTGTGTCTCAAAATTAAATCCCAAGAAGTGAAATCCTCAAATGGACAGAGTGCAGAGGAGAAGAGAGTAGACGGTCCTTATCGTTACACATGAATCCAACATTTACCAAGTGGCTGTTCTGATGACCCCTTGCGTTTTAGGAATGGTTAAATCTTGGTACATGAAATATTTGCTCTGGGGCCAGTGTTGTGGTAAAGCATGGTAGGCTGTAGCTTGCAATGTGATCATCCCATAATGGGAAACTGGAGCCAATTCCAACTGCTTCATTTTTGATCCATGCTCCGTGTTGATATGAGTAGGAGGGCAGCAAATGACAGCCCAAACTCTTGGGTCCCTGTCAGCCATGTAGCAGACCAAGCTGGAGTTCTAGGCGCCTGGCTTCCGCCTGATCCAGCCCTGGCTGACACAAGCATTCAGAAAGTGAACCAGTGGATGGATGATTCATGTCTTGCCCCGTCTATGACTCTATGCTTCCAATAAGTAAGTAAATATTTAAAAACAAAAACAGACTTCCACATATACTTTTTTGTTCCTTCCAACAACTGGTGAAGTAAGATAAACCTTGTAACATCTCCAAGACATGGACACATCGGAAAACCAGCACCTGCAGAAGTAGCTCTCTGCAGTCCTCCAGTGCCCCGGACGGCCCCGCCCTGTGGGCCCCAGGGCCGTGCTCCTCGCTGTTGCTCATGCCCTGTGGAGGGGTCTGAGAAAGGGCAGGCATGGGTTCTCTCTGGAGGAGCTGATGAGCTGCACAGGAAAATGCAAGATTTCCTCATGCAGCAAAGAGAAGGGTTGTGTCATCCTGTATGAAATAGGCTATAAATACGGTAACAATTGGATCATCTTCATTGTAACAGAAGGTGCTGTAAACCGTAACAAAAGCCCTGAAAAATATGTGTGTGGGTGCCTCCGAGTACTGGTCCAAGGACTGTTCCTCAAGTTTTCCAGCTAGACAGTCAATGTTTCCTGGAGAAATCCCATGATTCCTTTTTGACTAGGAAGAGAGCCAACAGGCTCAGCCTTGCATAGCGCCACAGGGACCTTTGGTCACCTTTAGGAGCCAGGTTTGTTTTTTAGATTTATTTCCTTTTACTTGGGTAACAGCTTTTACAGAGGGAGGTCTTTTGTGCACGGGTTCTCGATCCAGATGGCCACGACAGCAGGACCCGAGCTGAGCGGAGCGAGACCTGGAGCTGGGAGCTCAGCTGGGTCTCCCTGCTGGTGATCTGGGTTTAGTTTGGCGACTTCAGTTCCACCATTTGTTTCTTGTTCTGGTTTTGTTGGTTGTTTGGTTGTTTTTTTTGAAAGCATGCTTGTTGGTCACTCCTCCGAGGCCTTGGACATCTCCACAGGCCCTCCAGAGCACCGTGCTGCTCCGGAGGAAAGACAAAGGCAGGAGCAGTGAGCGGCCTTCATCTGTTTGTGAGCACAGGCTTGTTCGGATGCAAATGCAAACAATAGATCTCTGGGCTGTAATTCTGCTGCCGGAAGCACTGCGGGCTGGGAGAGGGACCGGCTGAGCATCCATTAGAAAACGGAAGCTGAGTCTGTGCAGACCCTGAAGGGCTGTGCCTGCGTTCTCCTGTTTCGAGGCCATGTGAAAACACCAACATTGGTCTTGGCTCCCTGGTACATTAGGCAGGTGGGGGAGGCGTTTCCTTGGTTGGATAGGAGCCCTGATGGGAACAAGGGCTAGGACCAGCTGCCTCAAGCCCCAGTATTCTATCTGAGACACAGCAGAGGCTGGTAAGAACTCAAGGCTTTTTGGAGTGGTGGGATCTTGGGCCCAATCCTCCCTTGCAGGGGCTGGCATTCCATATAGGCACTAGTTTATGATCTGGCTGCTCCATTTTCCAGCCAGCTTCCTGCTAATGCTCCTGGGAAGGCATGGACTATAGGCTAAGTGCTTGGGTTCCTGCCACCCACGTGGGTCACTCAGATGGTGCTCCTGGCTCCTGGCCCTGAGCTGGCCCAGTCTCAGCCATTAGAGCCATTTGAGGAGTGAATCAGCAGATGGAAAATTCTCTCTCTGTAACCCCCTTTTAAATAAACAAATCAATCTTTATAAAGAAATGGCTCACCAGCCTTACAGACATCCTGTGTGGTGTCCCTCCCCAAGCCCACTGCCAGTGGACAGTGCAGCCATTCCACGTGATCCTCTTGTAGCCGGAAAGGATCAAGACAGCAGACACCATGCTGGAAGAGGCCATGCTCGAGTCGCTTACAAGTGTCCACTCCTGCAGTCCAGGATCTGGCAGGAAAGCAAGGAAGGCAGACGCGTTCTCAAGGCCAGGTGAGATGACACTGCTTACGTCAGTGTGACATGTACCTTGCAGGTCCTGCCTGTCCCAGCCACGTCTTTGCTCGCTTCGCTGAGCTCTTGAGTACAAATGGGCATGCAGTGCTCCCTGACTCCTGAGCCCAGCCCGCTGCGTCTCCAGAGATGCACCTGTGAATTCCTTTTCCCAGAGTGGCACTGGAGTTTTGCTGAGCCACCCAAGCTTCCATTTCATCCCGCGATTGAGTATGGACCTGACATTACAGTCCCATCCTGGCTGTGCGACTTCAGAGAGAGCTGCCCCGCTGCTCTGCACCTCGTGAAATGGTGGTATCAGTGACCCCACAGAGTGGTTCCAAAGATCCCCTGAGTGTAGCCATGTGGAGGACCTAGAACATTCCCTCCCACAAAGGCTGTGCCATGTGAGTGTTCAGTCATCCATCTAACACGAATTTAGAACCACTGCTCCGACTACTGAGAAAGGAAGACAAGTGGCAGGTACTTTCAGTGGGCGTCCAGTCTCTGGCATGAGTTACTGCTTTATTTATCCTTTTTGCCTATCACAACTGTTGGAAAATGCTCAATAAATATTTATGAAATATTTCTGAAGTATTTGCTTTGGTGAACAGGCAAACACAAAAGTGATTTCAATTAAAAGTTACTAGATAACAATGACTGGCCCAAAGCAGGTGCTTGCCACCACGTAAGTTTTAGTAATTCTAATTGTCCGTGTCACAGATCACGTGCTGAGAGACGGCGTGTGTCTGGGCAGGCTGGGGAGAGCCAGCAGGTGGAGGTGCTCTGGGGGATGGCTTCCAGGAGGCAGGATCGGGAGCATGGTGTTGATCAGTGAGTGGGCGTCAGGCGGAGAGAGAAGAGGACTAGGAGTGTTCCAGGCCCCGGGAACACTGTGTGCAGAATCAGAGAGGCGTGAAATAGCACAATACATTCGGGGGACTCCAAGGAGGCAGCCTACCGGGGCCCCATCCTCTGAAGGACACGCAGTGAGCGCTTGGGCAGTGAGTCTGAGGCATGAAACAAAGCAAACGAGGCTTGCTGGGCCCATACGGGCCTTCAGTGTAACCTGAATGGCTGGTCACTAGGCAAGAGGCAGTGGCGTGGTAAATAGGGCAGGGGTGTGCCCCTCTGGAACAAACCCCATCTCCCTCTGCACAGCGCTGTGGCAGGCGTCCTGCTTGGTGCTTAGAAGGGAGAGAGGAAGTGAGACCACTCAATGCATCTCTTTTTTGGGAAGTAATGGGAATGAATGACAATAAAATTGATTGGATCATGACAAAGGCAACTCTACGCTCACATAGAAGCAGATTGCTGGAGATCGGAGGTCAGTGAACTCCGGCCGGAGGGCCACATCCGGCCCACTGTCTGCTTTCATCGTTGGGTCTTATGGGAACACAACCAAGCTCAGTTATTTACGTGCGGTCTGCACTGCCGCCCACAGAGCCGAGGAGCTGGGGACTGTGGCTGCGTGGTGCGCAGAGCCAGCTCCTCCAGGGCTGTTCTGCCACAGCAGGCATGTGGGCTCCATTTATCCTTTCTCATCTGGTTTTAGAAATCAATATTTAAAGCAAGGGTCAACACTGTGCATAATGGACGAAGCCGCCACCTATACAGCCAGCATCCCGGGTGGACACTGGTTCAAATCCTGGGGGCTCCACTACTGATTAGCTTAGCTCCCCACTAACACATGTAGGAAGGCAGGGGAGGATAGCCCAAGTGCTTGGGGCCCTGCTGCCCCCGTGGAGGACAGGATGAGGTCCTGACCCTGGGCTTCGGCAGCCATCACAGGCCTTTAGAAGTCAGTCAGTGAGCAGAGGCAATCTTTCTCTCTGTGCTTCTCTCTATCTCTGCCTTCAAATGAACAAACGAATCTTAACAGAGACATTTAAAGCAAGAGATTAGATCGGTTGAGAAGCAATATGATACAAGTAGCTTGCAGAATTTTGAAAACTACACTGTTAGGAAGGGAGGAATGCAATATGTATGAATACATGGATCAGTGTCGAGCCAGCAGTCGCCTCGCAGGTGTCACTCTCACTCCCAGGTAGTCAATTTTTTCTTTAAAAAATGGATTTGGTTGTCTGCACATCCGTGAGCATCGCCTGTGACCTTAAAAGCCAGGGGCTCTGAAAACAAAAAGGCAGGGGCTCTCGTGTCCCAGGACTCTGCGTGATGACCTTGATGGACTTGTTGGCACATCTGCCGTCAGCAGGTGTGTTGCCTCAGGGCTGGCGGGCTGGGAGACCTCAGCCATCCCCCAGGGCACCTCCCATCCTCCAGCGGGCTAGCTCAGGCCTGTCGCCTGGTGAGCAGCAGGGCCCTGGCTAAACCAGAAGCACACAGCTGAGGGCTGTGTTTGGGACCCGCAGACTGTTGCTGCCTTTTCACGCTGGTGGTCAGTGCACGTCGCCCCAGGAGTTCAGGAGTGGACTCCAACTTTTCATGGGAGGAGCTGCAGTGGGTCCTGCCAAAGCAGAGACGCAGGGAGGCCAGAACTGGGGCCTCGGAGCTGTGCTGATAATGACAAACAATCATGTCTGGTCCAAGCGCATCTCCGTGGCCTCAAGTGGAAAGAAAAGTTCATCACCCATCGTTTTCCTCAGCCCCACCCACAGATGCGAGTCACAGGCATCTTCTGCCAAGAGAGCTCAGAGCTGTGACAGAGGATTGCTGTGGGCAGCGGCCGCCGTGCAGTGCTGTGACAGGAGAGCTGTGGGCAGCGGGCACCGTGCAGTGCTGTGACAGAGGATTGCTGTGGGCAGCGGCCGCCGTGCAGTGCTGTGACAGGAGAGCTGTGGGCAGTGGCCGCCGTGCAGTGCTGTGACAGAGGAGAGCTGTGGGCAGTGGCCGCCGTGCAGTGCTGTGACAGAGGAGAGCTGTGGGCAGCGGGCACCGTGCAGTGCTGTGACAGAGGATTGCTGTGGGCAGCGGGCACCGTGCAGTGCTGTGACAGAGGAGAGCTGTGGGCAGCGGGCACCGTGCAGTGCTGTGACAGGAGAGCCGTGGGCAGCGGCCGCCGTGCAGTGCTGTGACAGAGGAGAGCTGTGGGCAGTGGCCGCCGTGCAGTGCTGTGACAGAGGAGAGCTGTGGGCAGCGGCTGCTGAGATGTGGTATGGTGGGTGCCTGAGCCCGCCCTGCACTCAGACCCCACTGAAACACCTAGCAGTCCTCAGCCCTTGGGCTTCAGGGTTGAAGGAGGACAAGCACGACCACAGACATCAGCAAAGCCCAGCCAGACCTGCAACGTTCATGCCACCTTGTGCTTCCGCTCCGTTTCTGCTTCCGGGTGGGCTCACATCGGATCCTGCCTTCAAAGATGACCTTGCTAAGGATGGACAATGGGGCAGGATTTTTTTTTTCTGAACTCACTAGCCATTGGATAATTTCAATTTATTGTTAGACAAATCTTCACCACTACCAGAGTTTGTCAATGAGAAGTACAGTTACCGTGATGTCAGAAAACCTCCTTCGCTCGTCTTGTCCTGGTCCCTCGCGGCTGGCGCTGAGACAGTAGGCCTCGGGCCCCTGATGCTTCATTTTACTTTTAAGATTTACTTGTGTGTTGGGAAGGCAGAGTTAGAGAGAGGGACAGACAGAGACAGAGGGGTCTTCCATCTGCCAGTTCACTCCCGAAATGTGTATAACAGCCTGGGCTGGGTCAGAGCCAGGAAGCTCCCCGCGTCGGTGACAGGGTCCCAAGGCTTTGGGCCGTTCTCCGCTGCTTTCCCAGGCCACATTGGCAGGGAGCTGGATGGGAAATGGAGCAGCTGGGACTTGAACTAGCACCCATAATGGATGCCAGAGCTGCAGATAGAGATAACTATGGGACAGCACTGGTCCCCATCCTTGCTCCTGAAGTATTTTAAAATCCCCTCCCCAAGTCTAAAACAAAGATGAAGAACAAAAGATCCACACCGCCCAGACAAAACCACATGGTTTGCTCAGGCTTGAGAGTGGTCTTCCCGGCAAGGAGCCAGTCAGTGTCCTGGGCCAGGGCTGGTTCCCTCGGACTTCGACGGAGCGCTTCCCGTTAGCCTCCTGCAGTAGCAGCGATGTGAGGAGGAACAGGAGAGAGCTGACGGAATTATCAGAGATGTTGAGTCAGGCCTCAGGCTGTGAATGGAAACCCATTTCAGCTCAGACAGTGAAGCACAAGGCCTCTGCGGGCATGGCTGAAGAGGTGGAGGGAAAGCCTGCAGGACGCTGCAGGGGGCAGTTGACGGAGGCTGCGGGAGGCAGGGCCACCTCAGAAGTTGGGTACAGAACCTCAGAAGTTAGCCGGGGCCGGTAGCACAGAGGGGAATGGCCAGCCAGCTGAGGGGATTACTAGGGGAGACCTCCATCACTGTGGGTTCCCTGGAACCCCATCGCCTTAGGGACTTCTCAAAAACAAAACCAACAGAAAAGCCTGCCAGCCAACCGACTGCCTATCACTGAAGAGCTGTCCACCAGGATAAGCCGCTGGCAGATGGGGCCAGTGGACAAAAGCCACGACCAGGAGGCTGGGGAGGGGCGTGTGTGCTCTCCTGGTCCGCTCCTCGCCGGCTGGGCAGAAGGGAGTCCTGCCTCCGTGCGGACAAAGTGTGTGTGTGCTCTCAGACCTACCTTGGCATTCCTTGGTGTCTTAGAGAAGCAGATGACCCCGGCTGAGCGAGACAGTCGGCAGAACAGCAGCTCTTGATGCTGCAATTGGAAATTTCCATTCTTTGCTTGCAGCTCTGAGAAAAAAAAAAAAAAAAAACAAACTCAAGAGCCCAGTAGCTGGGAAATTTCCACGATGGAAAATTTTAACATATTCTTTAGCTCTAAACTATGCAGCTTTATACAGACTGGTTTTTTTCTCTTTTGGTAATTTCCTTCTTTAACAATAATTTATGAACATGGCAACACCACAGCTGTGGCAATGGGAGGGCATGATGACCAGAGGGGAGTGGGTACGTTTTTGGCCACTGGGAGGCGAGCCCATCTCTACTAAACCCAGACATGCAGACCTCTTCAAGGCCCACCAGTTGGGAACTCATGCGAGGTAGAGACATCGCGCCCCAGCGCCCTGAGAAGAAACCGTGTAGAGATGAGAAGTGGGAGGTAGATGGGTGCCACCCAGGACCAGGACATGGCCAGTCCTGTTACTGGAAAACCCAGGCTCAGGTCAATCCCCTAGACCACACATGGCTACCAAGGGTGCCGAAATGCCCGCAGGAGTCCCTTGGGACCCTGTTAAGTCCCAGATTGTGAATCTGGTGGTCCAGGTGGGGCCTGAGCTT